TCCCAAGCCAGACAACCTTCTGCAGAGAGATAGCACCCAAGCTGGATAAAGGAACTGCCAGAAGGTGACCTCACGGGATATGGGTGGGGCACCCATAATATCCACTACAACTCCATGGCCCCTCACACAAGCATGAAGTGACTTCTCCAGCTTCAGCTCTCCCAAACTTCATGGAGGACCCTGGTCCAGCAGCTTTGATCACATTCCAGGAGGTGGGGGGCAGAAGGGTGCTTCATAGGGAAGATTCCCCTAGTCTTTTCCCCTACCCTCTGCAATAATGAAAACCCTATTCTCTACTTACGTACTGAGCCATAGGAGAAAAACTCACTCAGCTTTGCCCAGCAACCAGGGCACTGGCAGACACAAAACTGCCCAGTTCTACATTTTTCACCAACTTGATCCCTCTGCAGAAAGAAAACAGTCATTATCAAAAAGCCAATTGTCATTCTGCCTCTTTAGAAAAATTCCCATTAAAGATAAAGCAAATTTTAATTAGATTAAGTATCCAATTACTGTAATTACATTTTTTAAAAATTCACATCATGAAGATGACCCTTTTTAAAAGGGTTACAGGAATAATTAGTGTATTCATATTAACCAAAATGTATTGGATAATATTTATACCCAGAAGACAAAGTACATTACACACATTTCACCTTTGGGGAAAGCTTGCAAATGTTTTGGCAGTGGCATGAATATTTATAGACAAGAATGTGCTTTAGCAAGATTATGTGAGGAAGCATTTAAATGCTCACCAATTTTTACCCAGGAGTAAAGTATACAGAAAATGTAGTGCAGAGATTATGGATATGCAAAGTGTGACTTAAGCGGGGAATTTCTATCAGTTTGCTTAATTAATTGGAGCCAAAGACTATTTCTTCTCATTCAAGGCAGAACGGGTCCAAGGTATCCAACTGTGACTCCTCTCTGCTCTGCTTCCACCAGGGGTCATGAGGGGAGCCGTCACCATGTTCTCACCTTGAATACTCACCACCAGGAAGCCTTGACCCACCCACTCCCAGATGGGTGACTCTTTAAGATAAGGAATATGCGCCTTCTAGAGGCTTCCTCCAGATAGGTTTTCCTCTGAAACTATCTTCCCTTTCCTGATTCCATTTCTTTTCTTTTGACCTGCTTTGCTGGAGCAACTGCTGCTTTTCTGGTCTCACACTTGATTGCCTTCCAGGCTCCATCACACTTGCTAGCTCAGGGGAGGGAGGCAGCACAGTCTCCATTTCACAGATGAGGAAATTGGGACTCTAGAGCTTGGCACAGCTCCTGGAACTATGCCAAAGAACTGACTTGTAAGGGATCCTGCTACCCCTGACCCAAACCTGTGTGGTCTCTGCCCTGCCTGTCTGGAAGCTGTGTCCACCACCAGCCACAGGAACATCCATCTCTGCTGCCACCCGTGCCAGAAAATGGGCAGCACAGGTGTTTCTGTTTCTTCTCAGAGATAATTTCTTAGCCCAAGTCAGGCATGCTAGGTGTGATCGGGGAAACAGTGATGTGTCTGTACCCCAGGGGCAAAGGGAGGTAAAGCTTGTTGGACTCTATACTGAGAATGTGAGTCCACTTTTTTTGATGCATGACATCAAAAAAAAGGATAGGCAAAAATTTTGTACATCCACAGCTGAGAAGTGTTTAGCACCTCTTCCTTCTCCCCAATGGAAATCCTGTCCAGGTCCTGCCCCATCTCCTGCTTCCTTCTTTAGCTTCTTCAGTCTGGGTTTTGGAATCAGAGGCCTCACTCTCTTTTGCTCAGTGTCCTGGGTATCTGGATCTCATTTCTCTGCTAACCACCCTGATTTTCTGCCAATAGTAATAGTCACTGACTCTCTACAATGGGGCTGCTGTGGATTTCTTATGGGCTTTTCTTTAAAATTGTTTTCAGAGTCCAAGGTACATTGTGGGAATCTCCTCTATCATGTATACGTATAGCTGTGTCTTTCTCTCTTAAGGAACTTGCTCCTCTGAAGTGATTGCAGAGGCTGGCAAATCCACATCTTCAGGGTGGGCTGGCAGGTTGGGGACCGGGAAGAAACATGCTGCATGTCAAATGTGAAGACTGCCTGCTGCAGGGTTGGTCTCTTGAGGGTGAGAGACCAACCTTCCTTGGTCTCTACACTTGAGGGTGTTGGTCTCTTATTCTATTCAGCCTTTCAGCTGATTAGATGAGACCCACCCACATTTGGAGCACAGTCTGCTTTATTCAAATTCCACCTATTTAAATGTTAATCTCATCTTAAGACATAGAAACATCCATCATATGTCTGACCACATCTGGTCACTGTGACCCACCCAAATGGGTGCATAAAATTAACCAGAGTGGGCTGTACACTTGCTTTTCAGCCAATAGCCATCAGATATCTGATATGTTCTCCATCAATAATTTATTGGAAAATCTGAGCACTAGCTTTGTGATAAGATCAGGGTTTTCCAAGAGGTCTTGAATCACAATGTACTCCTGGCTCCACAATACCAGCAGTGACCAGAGAGCAGCCACTCCAGGCCCCAACTTCCCTCACACCATGAGCTGCCTAGAGCATCTTTGAGAAGGACCTCCCCTCTCCAGGCCATCACCCCACCTATCTGCAGCGATGAATATAGCTGCAAAGTTACAACCATAACTTTGTGTTCCCACCTTACTCCAGGCAGGGGATGAATGTGATCATGATCCCTACCCAATAGCCACAATCCTACACCCAAGCCTACCAGACCTCCCATCTTCTCATGGCTGTGCATCTCCATACTGTTCAATATATATTTTATTCTGATTCTATCTCCCACTCCTACTCAGAAAAAAACCGAGTTTGAGAATCACCAGCGTTAAGTCACAGAAATTAGTCAACAACCTATTTGAGTAGGCTAAAGGTCAAATGATGGTCAATGAGTAATTGACAGCAGCTGCAGGTAAGTGGCTCCCGCTGCTAAGCCTTATGGACCTTATATCAAGGAGCCCTGCCAATCATCCCAAGGCAGAGTGGAACTAGATTCCTGGGAGAAGGGTGAAGTCAGAATCCTCCCCTTCTCGGGCCTATGGCTAGGAGAGCCCCCTCTCTGCTTCCTGCAGTAACCAGAGGAAGGTAGGTTCTTCTTTCTGGGCTTTGTGGTCCATGAAGAGTTTTTCTGTTCTGAAATTGGGTGTCAAGAAAGCAGAAAGCAGGTAAATCAGGAATGTTGGGAGGGCAATTTAGCATGGGGATAAGAATGCCAGTAATCTAGGAGAGAGGCACTAAGGAGCACTTTCCAAGTTTTGTGCAGTGGGACTGCAGGCGAGAGGAAAAGAGGTTTATTCTGAGAATAGAACAATAAAAAATAGAATTAGATCAAGTGGTTACTAATAAGAGCTGGCATTTATTCAGGAAGTTTGTATTCTGTATGAAAAGCACTGAGCAGTGTGCCTAGAGGGTCCGCTACGACTGCTCCTCTAAAATAAAGAAACTACTCACGAGCAACTGTTAGTGATGTTGGTGATATGGATGATGATGATGCCCAAGTGATACTAGCAGGGCATTAATTGAGGAATGAGATTTTTTTTCTGTTTATTTTCACATTTTTAATGTGGTTATTAGAAGTTTTTGAATTATGTGTTTCCGGCATTATATTTCTATTGGACAATGTTTTGCTGCTTACAAAATTTTGACATTTCTTGTCTACTATCATGTTTTCTTCCATTCTCTTTAGTGTTGTAGTTGATACTCTTATCTATGTTTATTTTCCTGAGGTGTCTGGGGGAAAGACAAGATAAATGGGTATATTCCATCTGCCATGTTTAACTGGAAGTCATATCTAACCTTTTCACAGTCTAGCCCTTGCTTATATTTGTAGTCTTATCACTCCATGCCTTGTCACCAATCCTGTGAAATGAATTTGTCACAGCCAAAATGAATTACTAATGGTTTTTGGAACACACCAGGAAACTTCAAGCTCTTGCTTTGTGTCCTCTTCCTAGAAGAGCCTTTTAACTCCTCCCATCTGTAAGCTTAGTAACTTAGCCTTGAAAGACAAAAAAAAAAAAAAAAAAAAGAAAAGAAAAGGTAAATAACTCAAATCTCACTCTCAGAAGCTTTTCCAACTCCAGTGAGCTGATGGCTCCAATATCTAGACTATTTCCTGCATTTTCTTGCTTAGTTACCATCCCCATCTTACCTTATTTACCTATCTTATCTTAGTTACCTATCCCCATCTCTTATCTTATTCATCAGATCCCATATGCCAGGTCAGGGTTTGATACATAGCAGGAACTGAAACGGTATTTATTAAATGAAGGAATAAAGAACATCAGGAAAGAACTGTGGAGATACAGGGGAAGGAGAGGCTGATGAACATGGTTCACAAGGGTCGTATTTTTCAGCTGTTCTTCAGAGAGACTTTTAACAGGTGGAGATGGTCAGGAATATTCCAGGCAGCGAACAGGACAAGCAAAGCTTGTTTCCTAGGAATATGCTCAGAAAATAACAAACGGTCCAGTCTGGAGAGAGCACTGGTAAGACCAGATCATGCAACACCTTGGGATTATGGTCTCACCGTTGATCTGAGGAAAAAGTTTCCGAGAGGTGTTAAGCTGTGGGGAGCGATGACTAGAATTGCATGTTGGCATTATCCGGGCTGGCTGCAGGTGGAGAGTGGATGAGGGGGCGTGGGCAGGCGCTGAAGGCTGGAGCTGGGTGCAGTGATGAGGAAATGGATGGCGTGGCCCGGGGTGGCTGCGCGCAGAGGTGGTGGTGGTGGTGGGGGGTCTGCCAGCGACTTGGGTACAGAGTGCTCCGAAGGCGCGGGGAACGAGCGAAGGAGCTTCCAGACTGTTCTAACCGGAGGGGCAGGTACCAATCACAGCTACGGGAGGGGCAGGTGAGCCCCGCGGCCTGCGCGGAGTGGGAGGCACTTCGCGCTCTTGTCCCTCGCGCGCCGCCGTCGCGTCGCGCAGTCCGCGGTCTGGTGGGTCGCGGGAGGCCGCAGGCGCTGCGGTTCCGTTTCCGGTTCCGGCTGGAGGCTGCGCCAGCGGCGAGGGCGTGCGGCCATGGCTTACTCCACGGTGCAGAGGGTCGCCCTGGCCTCGGGGCTCGTTCTGGCGGTGTCGCTGCTGCTGCCCAAGGCCCTCCTGTGGCGCGGAAAGCGGCCGGAGCCGCCCCCGGCTCCTGAAGGTGAGCGCGGACCTGCGGGGCCAAGCGCCTCCCGTCGCCTCAGGGAGAATGATGCTCCCAGGAGGGCTCGCTCCGGGAGTCTCCAGGCCCCACCTGGGTATCTGTGACACGGGCTGTGGAGAAGGTGGACGGAGTGGTTTTTGGGAAGGTGCCAAACCCCGAGGTTCCCTTTTGCATCAGCAGGGAGCAGCCCCACCCCAGCAGGTGCCTCCCGGGTCCTGCTGCAGAAGGGCTGGGGGTGCGCGCGTGCCTGGGCACCCTCTAGGTGGCCCCGCACACACCTCTTGCTCTACACTCCTTACCTCTTCCCCTCACTGACCTACCTTTGCGTCCAGAAGGCGCCCCATGGATGTCCCTCCTTCGGGTCACCAAGCGTCAGAGTCGACATTGTTAGTTTTAATTCGTTGTGGCTTCAACTTGATTTTGGGCTCTCTCTGGTTCCAGGCTCTTTTGTGCCTTTTAAAATATAACTTGAAGATTTAATAGCCCAAATTTCCATTACTGAGATGGCATTTACACATCCACACTATTGCTTATTGGACAGCTCCTTTTGAACTGAAATTCACTTCCTCTAATTTGGGCACGCTGGGTGTAGTCCCACCTTCTTTACTGTATGAAAACCCCTAGAGCAAAGCACCCAGCTCTAGGAGTGGAGGGCAGATTGAACCCAAAGTTCTGTTTCTGGAATTTGTCCTATAATGTTTATGCTTGCAAAACCATCTACATAAAAGAGACTTTTAGAAAATCTTTGCATGTTTGTTTTCTGATTACAAAATCCTAAAACTTTTACTCATTTTGTCCAGTGGTATTGTTTGCCTTGAAGAAAAACATTCATGATGACCCTCTACAGTGAATATTCTTCTAAACTATTTTAATTAATTGAATTCCCATTATGCTGAATTAGCTTGAGTAAGTTCTGTTGAATGTGAATGGGAGAGACTCTTCTGCATGTTGTAGAGTGAAGATAGAATCATATAACATGTCATCACTTCTCATTGGCATCTTTCACTTACAGCATGAAGCTGTCAAGGTTTCTAATATAGCATGTATCAGTACTTTATTACTTTTTATGGCTGAGTAATATTCTGTGTGTGTATGTCTATATCACAGTTTATCCATTCATCAGTTGTAGACATTTGAGTTGTTTTTGCTTTTCACCTATTATAAATAAAGGCACTACTAGCATTTGTGTATAATTTTAGTGTGGACATGTTTCATCTTTTGGGTACATACATTTGGGTAATCTAAACATTTGCGTGCCTGGAACTAAGAGTGTGATTTTTGGGTCATATGATTAATCTATAATCTATAGCTAACCTTTTGAGGAACTGGTAAACTGTTTCCCCAAAGTCACCACACCATTTTACATTCCCAACAGCAGTATACAAGATTTCCAACTTTCCACATCTTGCCAACACTCATTTTCTTTTTTTGATTGTAGCCATCCTAGTGGATGTGAATGGTATATTATCTTCTTTGCATTTCTCAGATGCTTAATGACGTTGAGCATCTTTTTGTGTGTTTATTGGTATTTTATATATTCTTTAGAGAAATGTGTATTCAGATCCTTTGCCCATTTAAAAATTGGGTTACTTGTCTATTATTGGTGGGTTGTAAGAGTTCTTTATATATTTTTAAATACATTAGAGGTATAATTTGCAAACATTTTTCCCATTCAGTGGACTTTCTTCATTTTCTTGATGTCCTTTTAAGAAGAAAAGATTCTAATAATAAAGTCTAGTTTGTCTGGTTTGTGGGGTTTTTTTTTTTTTTTTTACTTTTATTGCTTTTGCTTTTGGTGTCATGTCCAAATAATTATCACCAAACCCAAGGTCATGAAGATTTATGTCTGTTTTCAAATATAGTGTAATATTAGCTCTTACATTTAAGTCTTTGGTGTAAAGTAGAAATTCAGTTTCATGTGGATATACAGTTATCTCAGCATCATTATTGAAAAGGTTGTTCTTTTTACACCTAATTGTTATGACACCCTTATTGAAATCAGTTTACTAGATAGGTGAGACTTTATTTTTGGAATCTCAGTTCTGGTTCATACATATATTAGAATGTGTATATACATATTCTAGATATATCAACATGTACTTGTGTGTGTGTGTATATACACACACACACTAGAATGTATACTGTGTATATCAAACGTACCTGTCCTTATCCTAGGACCATACTGTCATTTTTAAATCATTAGGGCATATAAATACTTTCAGATAAACAAAATAAGACTTTTGTACATATTACAAAACAATTATCACAGTAAGTCTGTTTAACATCATCACCATGTCACCACTTACAAATTTTTTTTATAATGAGAACTTTAAGATTTACTGTGTTAGCAACTTTCAAATATATGTTACAGTATTATTAATAGTATTGCCCTTTGGCAACCACCAATCTGTTCTCTGTATGTTTGACTTTGTTTTTTTCTGTTTATTTTTGTTTCTCTCTTGTACATACAAGAGAGGAGGCCCTTAAATCTTGATTACTATAGCTTTTTAAAAAATATTTTATTTATTCATAGAAGAACTGGGGTGTAGGCCAGAGGTACGGGGGCTTAGGGGGGTGAGAGGATTCACCAGAAACAGAGCAGGAAGCAGAACAGGTGGATATACTGAAATACACTGCTAAGGGGAGCAGCAGGCGAGAGACAGGAGAGGTCTGCTGTGCCATGTGGGTTAGCTCCCTGGCTAGGGATCCAAAGCAGGCATGGTGAGATGGGCCCTCTGGTGGTAGCACTGAGCCTTAACCCAGGCCACCAGGGAGGCCCTGATTACTGTAGCTTTTTGTAAGTTTTGGGATTGTGAAATGTGAATCTTCCAACTTTGTTTTTTTTCCAAGATTGATTTATCAGTCTTATGATGCAGTATATCCATATAAATTTGAGGAACAGTTTGTCAATTTCAGCAAATAGAAAAAGCCAATTATATCCCCATGGAATTTTGATAGATTATGTTGAGTCTGTAGTTTATTGGGGGAGTATTGCCATCTATATTAAGACTTTCAATCTGTGGGGCCTCCCCAGTGGCGCAGCGGTTGAGCGCTGAGTTGCAAAGCTGCCCACAGTCTCTGCAGCGCCGGGTTCGATCCCCGGCTGCTCCCTGGCCACCAGAGGAGGGTCCCGCATGGCACGCAGACCTCTCCTGCCGCCGGCTGCTCCCCTCAGCAGTGTACTTCGGTCCTTCTGCCTACTCTGCTCCCTGCTCTGGCTCTGGTGAATTCTCTCACCCTCCCGCGCTTCTGACTGTACCCAGTGCTTGTATACATAAATAAATAAATAAATAAATCTTAAAAAAAAAAAAAAAACCAAAAAACTTTCAGTCTATGAACACAGGACTTTAAAAAAAATAGGACTTTAATTTCTTTAATTTTGTAGCTTTCAGTGCCTAAGTCTTATTTTGTCTAATATATTACTATATTTTTCATTTTGATGCTGTTGTAAATGAAATTATTTTATTGTCACATTGTCCATTACTAGAAATAGATATACAGTTATATCCTGCAACTGTGTTTTCTGTGCACAGTGACCAGCATCCAGCTCGACTTAGATTTTCCTTTGGTTTCTTTCTCCACCGCTGCACATCCAAGCAGGGTCATTGGTGTTCATATTTATGGGACGAGAAGTAAGGACATCTGAGTATAAATATTCAACTATGTCTGGAAGTAAATACTTGGCACCCTGCCAATATGTTTAGATATTGACCATGTTATAAATAACCTACTGAGAAAACTTAAACCTTCCTTCAAGTGCAATTTTGTTCAATGCCAGCCAGTATTTTCCAAACTTCTTTCTTTAGTTTATGTGAGGTATTATTTTGTTTTGCCAAGAAATTCCATGTTTGAGAATTCTGCGTATTGCATACATTCCTCTTTTAGATATTCAAATATACATTAGCTTGTTACCTACTTCAAAGTTGTATAGAAAACAGTAACTTTCTTACTGCCTTCCCCAGAATTAGATCCAATAGTAACTCTCATATCCTGTCACAACTTTGAAAATACAGTTTTATAATTTTTCAATCCTTTAATGTGGGATTGAATGCCTCCTACTCTTTCATCAATGATTTCCTTTTAATATACTTTAAAAGTTAATTTATATATTTTAAAATTTTACTTGTTTTTTTCCCCCACCACCATTCTTGTATCCTCTTGTCCTGTCCTGTCCACCCCACCCCTGCTGCTCTTTTAATCTCAGAGAACTTTTAACCTCCAAGAACTCAGTGTTTATTAATGTCCATTATTTTTGGTAAGTATTTTACTTTATCAAATTGTCTGATGTGTAGATGTCCAGTATTTGTTTTTCTCGTTCTGATTTGCTTTACTGCATGATTCTCTCAAACTCCCTCCATTTTGCTGAAAATTGCTTCATTTCATCATTCCTTTTGGTTGAATAGTACTCCATAGTGTGGATATACCACTTCTTGATCAATTATTTGTTGATGGACATTTAAGCTGCTATGTTAACTGTTATAAAGAATGGTGCTATGAACATTGTAGAGTATTTAGGTTTTGTGTATGTGTGTGGTTTCATATTCTTTAGATAGATGCCCAAGAGTGGGATTACTAGGCTGTACAGTATTTCCAATTTTAGTTTTTTAAGGTAAATCTGGATTGCTTTCCATAATAGTGTGCCAGTTTACATTCCTACCAACAGTATAATAGCGTTCCTCTTTTTCTGCAACGTCTCCAGCACTTGTTGGAGTCTTTAATATGTGTCATTCTCATGGATGTGAGATGGTATGGTATTGTGGTTTTAACCTGCATCTCCCTGATTGGAAGCAAGGATAATCATTTTTTAAAATACCTATTCACTTTCTGGATATCCTCTTTGGTGAATTGTCTGTTCATAAATAATGCCCATTTGTTGATTGGATTTTTTGTTGTTGAACCGTGAGGTTTTATTACATGTCTTGGATATTAACCTTGTGTATGTGTATGCATGTGTGTGCAGTGTGAATATTTTCTCCCACTTGATGAGATGTATTTTT